AATTGACACTAAAAAACTTAAGAGTAATTTTAAATGGCTATGTTATGAAAAGGTAGAAATTTTAAACATTTTGTATAGCCCGTATGGTGGAGTTTGCCTAAAATAGCCTTGGAAAATACCGTTGACCAATTTACGGTTCTAATCTTTGATCAACAATACCAACTAGATAACGAATCACGTACAAAATCATAGCTAAATTCTGTCCGCATGAATATAAACTATGAAAAGACATAAATTAAATAACATTTAGTGTGAAACTTAAGTTGACTTAACTTAAGTGTCAAACTTAAGTTTTAACAAAGTTCTCTTTTCCGTTATTGCCTTACGAGCTACACTCTCACGCGCAAGAGCTCACGTCTCATGTGCACTCTTATTTACTGAGATGAATTTCTTGCGCCGACCCGACACGACATCTAGTTGGTATTGTTGATCGAAGGTTCTAATGAATTGCACAGAGCACTTAATTTGAAGTCGAATTTCGTATGTAATGGCGGCGTGGAGGTTCCGTGCTCTGTAATGAAATAAATACTCGCTAATAAAATAAAAAAGGTATAAAGATCTCCTCATTATGAAACGCATTGCTTGTATAGATTTACCATTTTGATTCCTGAGACGTCAAAAAGTTGTGTGTAATTTATTATGTAAATAGATATAATTTGTCGCTGTGTCAAAACGTCCACGTTACATCTGATAGTAAATCAGTTCTTCATGTTGTTGTGTGTTTTATTTTTACTCCCGGAATCTAATTAACCATTTAAATTAATTATGCTCTTAGAACTTATTTACATAATTTCTTTTAGTTATCGCAGTTTAAAAATATTTACAGCTTATTAATTTCCTGCCCTGCAAGATTTCTTTTCGGTTAATTTTCCAAACCTTTTAGGTTTTAGATCCTTTCTAGCAAAATAGCTAATAAGCTAGCTAGCTAATAAGCTACTTATTATATAAAGCTAATTTACCCATTAAAAACGGAAATTTATTAATTCTGATGTTAATTGTAGTGTGTACGAATCATTACAGAATCTCTAAAGCCATATCATGTTGTCGTTTTTTTCTATAGAATCTGATGGTAAGTGTCCACCGCTGCTGCATCTCAGAGAAGTGGACTCGTTATTGACGGTTCCTAGTCACGTCGGTCCAATGAAACTGCTAGAGACATTAAACAATATAACTATGGATTGTAGAAGTAAGGAGTACAGACTGTGTATTAAAAAGTGTCCATAGAAAACCGTTAAATAAGGGTGGCGCCACTATAACTACGGGCTAAGTTTTAAAGAACGTACCGAAAAATATTAGTGGGATAGAAGACTTTTTCGAGCTTATATTTACAAAATAAAATATTTTACATTTTAGAGCTACTGAGCAGTTTAGCAGCACACTTCAAACCGTCGACAAATGCCAAGTTCATTTCATCCCAGTAGCTACTCCAGCGCTGTTGTGGAGAGTTTCTGAACTGTTATTTACTGCTTACAAATGGCCACTTTTTCAACTATTCTACTATGGGAGTTGGTACTCCTTACTTCTACACTCCATAAATATAACATTTTCGTTTATGGCAAGAAATTCTAAGAAAAATTCGTTCATCAATTCGAGCCATATCGTAAGTGGAATAATGTATAACTATCTCGTGTATATCAGATGTAAAATATCCAGAACGATGATGAGGAGCGTCAAAAGTATGATGATCAACTTTTGATACTGTAATCGTCACTTGAGCCTACCAAGCGAGATTAGTAACAAATCATTTTTATACTTAAGAGGCTCATATCCAACAGAAGGCTATTATGGACTGATAAAGAACTAAGAAGAATTTTAAATATATTTTCATTATATTGTAGTGACGGAATTGACCGCAAATATTTTAACGATTCCAATTCATTGTATAACAATGATTTAAAAAGGAAGGATAGACCCATCTAAATATTTTACTCATAACTTTTTCATACAAGAAAAAGTAGCGCATATGTCATAATACAAACGTCATATCAAAACACGACGTAAACAGGGTGGGATTTCGTAATATAATTATCCTAATTGTACCATTATTTCATAGTTTGTAGTACATAGTATCGTAATAATACTGGGCGAAAATACATTAATTTTACCTAAAGGTCGACTTGTATTATTATTGGGTCTTTTTACGTTTTAATATTAACTCTACGATATCGAGAACTTCTGTATTGTACATGAGTACCACGTTTTTTTTTAATAAAATTCGAATTAGCTCCATTTCTGGTCAATCGGTGCTCGATCGATGCATTTATGTTGCATTCTTGATGCAACTATAATGAGGGCTTCCACGATAAAACTCTATGCTCCAGAAGCAATCGGTTTGAAAACAGAATTTCAAAATATTTTATGAATCAGAGTTTCAGATTCAATTAAGCAGATATGGTTTCTTTTGTACTCTTTTCGTTTTACCCTTATTGAATATAAAACATATTAGTTACCAATATTCAAAATTTAACTTACACCAAGTTCTTTAGACAAAATTTAAACAGAAATAAAAATGCGTGACTCCAAAATCTCGGCACATTGGTAAAAAGAAACATGAAACGTCAACCGTGATATAATTTTTTTTTTAATTGTATGATTTTATTTTCCATGTACAATATTTTTGAGGGTCTGAATTCAACCCTGGCCTAATCTTGGTAACGTAACTAAACTAACTGTAAAATAAAACTTTATAAATGCGTTTATATAATAATTTAATTGTAACAAAATTAATATAAGGTTATTTACCGATGATACGATATCCCATGTTTCTCTTATCTTTGTATCGTAATTTTTGCATTCTTTTATCACGCAACTAGACATATTTGTGACAGGCAAATCTGTCCTGCGCGTGCACCACTGTCGACTGATTAGCATTGGCCCTAAACTGTAATTTTAGGGCCAACACATTGGTCCGTTTTAATTGTTCGGTCGACCCGGTCCTTACGCTAGTAATATATAAGTCAATGTTGTATAATTATTAAAAGGTAACTAAGCACAAATGCATTTTATTCGATGACGACATTCTATATTTTTAATTGTATTTTAATATTAATTATATAAGTACGTATTGGTACTATAGTATGTGCCAAATTGATTGAGAAAAACGGACAATAACCTTTCGGTCGTTTAACCACGGGTTACAAACCTTCAATATATAGGCACATTTTATATGTAGTACTTTCTTTATTTATAATGATTTTTTATTATTTTTATAATGATTGATATAATATATATTTATTAACTATTATTAAAAATCAGCACTTAAAATTGCAATTAACAATTTCATTGGTGCCAGCGGGGATCAAACTCGGTTTGCTCACGTACTGTGTAATTTACAGCGAGCGCTAACCATCTAAGTTACCACGTGCTCGGCGGTGAAGGAAAACATCGTGAGGAAACCTGCATGTCCGAGAAATAAGAAAAAAATATATTTCAAAGACATGTGAAGTTCGCCAACACGCATTGGGTCAGCGCAACGGACAATACCTTGTCCTGAAACTCTCAGAAATGAGTGGGAGGGCTGTGCTCAGCAGTGGGACCTAATATATAGGCTGTAACTTTACTTTACTATTATTAAGAATATAATTATTTTGGTCATGTAGAAAGAACGAATGCGGAAAGACTGACAAAGCAAATATATGTTGCAGAAGTGAATGGAAGAGTCGGAAAGGGACGTCTTAGGCGGAAGTTTGTTGACCAAATTGGCAATATACTAAAAATGGGCCAAATTAAGAGTACCCTTAACCTTATATGGATGTGGAAGAGGCGAGAGAGGTATGTCAGGATCGTGCTAAATGCAAGTCTGTAGTCTCTGCCTACCCGTCTGGGTGACAGGCGTGAGTGTTTTATGTTTATGTTATGTTATTATTAAGAAGTTATGTAAAAGATCGCTGTAGAAGAAAAATCATCTTCTGTTATAAAGTACTTTATTCATTTAACAACAAAAAGCATTAATTTATAACACATATAAAGATTCGAGTGATAACGACACCGAATAAGTACGTACTTATTTTTGAATAATATTGAAAATAAAGTAGTATCTTTTGAGATAAAACTTTATTTTCAATTTATATAAGAACTTTATTTTTATTCGGTGCAATCATCACTCGTATCTTCACTTGATTTGTATTCAGACAAACTGTCTGTAACATTAATTATAAAGCGATCTGCAGTTTGGAACCGTGGACCGGCCCAAAAAAGGTGACGCATCTCTGGCTGCCATTGTCACGTTTCTTTTAGAATGAACTGATTTAACGCCCGTGTTGTTTATTTTAAAGGGATGAATTTGAAAAAGCTCAATGTGGTGATTATATTGCTTCAAATATTTTTTTTAATATGAAACTGCCATTAAATGAATTGCTGCGTTACATACCATAAATTGAAATTTTTCGCGATGTACCGTATGATTTCACGATGTTTATAGGAACCACAGACAATATTATTTAAAAAACAAAACATATGTGCCGACCTAGAAGTGTGAATAATATCAATATTTGAATATTGTTATCACATCTAAATTGAGATTTTGTAAATTACGCCTTTTGATACTCGGCTCATATCAGAGGTCCGTTTTTATGAATCGATTTGGCACATACTATAGTATTTCTAATTTGTAAACGACGACATACCAATAAATATTTTAATTGAATTTGATATTGTAATTTAGTAAACTTAATTATAAAAAATTTTTTTTGCATGCTATTCATATTGGCTGAAAAAGCTGAACTACACTTTACAATAACCACCTAAATAGGGTACCTATTTCAAAGAAAATAAATTTTCATTTCATTTCCATATGAAATTAGTTATTGAGGTTTATTACGAAACCGAATGCTTAGGCTGTACGGACATAGATGCCTTTGTTTAGAAATAATTATTTATCATTTGACATTGACAAATGTCAGCTGACCTGACTGCTGCTAAATTAAATTTTGTTTACCTTTTGGTTTATGTATTATTTTCGTTTCTTTTTTTGTATAAAAGATCAACATACGTCGGAAACTATGTCTAGAACTGCTCACGTAGTAGATGGAGAAGCGTCAGAATCGGACTCAGAAATAGAAGTGGGTAAATCACCAGTAAGTAAATTGTTAATATTTTCTGGTCACTGATTTTTTCCCATGTATTACCTTCTCTTTAGTTAAACCGTGTAGCCTTTAGCAACTTGGTCATATTGTCACGTCAGAATTTTAGAATCAGCCAGTTTAAAAGTATAATAAAAATAAATAGAAGAAACAAGTAGACTTCTTCTTTTGAAAGCAAAATGCGTTCGTATCAGATGTAAGCCCCTCTTCCTGATCATAATATTGACTAAAGTTAGAACCGCTTATACGAAAATTAACGCTGAGATAATATTATAAAGAATTGAGTGTAAAACCAGTGTGTGTAGTGAAGGGGGCAAGCTGATATATAGAAGATGTAGGTACAAGAGCACATGAACCTTGAGGATCGACCCACACATACCGCAACCACACCACATTGCAGCGACAAAATGTGGCCACATGTGAATAGTGTTGCAGTTGCGTTGTAGTTACGCGTCAAAATGTTGATGCGATTGCATTGTCGATAGGAGCGGCCGCTAGTACTGTGTGGTTTCGTAGTGATTGCTTTGTAGTCAGTCACCCACGCAGTCGATAATGACGGCCAAATGTGGTACATGTAAGTTGTACTATTCATTTCCAATTCAAAATGCGCCCGCCCACATGTTGTGGTTGTGGTGTGGTTTTGGTATGTGTGCGTAGACCCTTACACTACTATTGTGTGTCTTACCTCTATTGCAATTGTAATAAGATTGGTATAAATTCCAATGTTTATCTTGACTGTACAATAAATAACACTGGCTGCATTGCATATGACTACATGTTTTTGGGGGGAACGGAGGCCGCCCTACGCCCCCTTGGCATCCTTGGGTGTATGTAGTGAATGTGTAGTGTGTGTGGTTTATGTGTGTGTAATGTGTGTTGTGTGAATGTGTGCTCTCTGCACAACAAGAATAAGATATAAAGATAGAATAAGACACAATTGTATGAAAGAAATATCATTTCTAATATTTCAACTGGCTTACTTAAACAATTTGGTATAGCAATTCACCATTCAAGTAAAATTGTATTATCAATAATAAAACCCTAGAGTTTATTATCAATTCTCTTCCATTGACCATGGTCAGTGACATAGGAAAAGGCCATGGCCTTAAATTGAATGAAAGGTTAAATTGAAGGAAAGGACTTTAGGACCGTAAGAAGCAAAGAAGTGCGTCAAGGTTGTGCCAAATGGAAATCCGGTGTCACTGCCTACCCCTGTGTGGGACAGTGGTATTGATGTATGGTATGTCCATCCATTTATTTATTACAGCCTATAAGAGTTTACTGCTGAACAAAGGGTTTCTTTTAGATTGCCTCGTGCATTATGGCCTATGGCAAAGTCATAGTCGCATTGCTGGCGAGCAGGTTAAAACTACAGTTTTTATAATTTTAAGTTGTTATCAGGAAGATGCTGCGTCAGTTACTATTTCAGTTTACCCTCTGTTACCGCTTATGACACCCATGATGGGACAATATGAGGTACTGGATATTCTTACACCGCCACTATATGATTAAACATCTATGTTATGTAAAAGAGATGAAACAAGTATCATTCAGTGTAGAGGATAGTTTGGATATTTAGTAGATTCAAAGAGTTGTTGTAGATATTTCATAACCATTATTCTTATTAATGTGAATACTGAACAATGGTTATTTACCGTTTCTGTATAAAGATGAGAATGCTCCTGCCTTACTAATAACCCTATAGATATTGTATTGTAAGCTACTTTAAACCTTTTTACACATATATTTCGTAACATAAAATCGTAACAATTGGGAGAAAAATAGTCTTATGTAAAAAAAATACAATACAAGCAGTGTTATTTGTTAGTTTAGTTTACGATGGGCTGTTTTCCGCAACTCCACGTCTAAGCGCGTATTTTGCGTGCGTGTGGGCAGGAATAATGTGATTATTCAAGCCATGAAATCTCTCCAAAGAAGTTCAACAGTCCTTTGATGTTGAAAACAATTTCGGGGGAGCGATCCCGGCTTGCCGAGATGTTTAGCCCTGTATGAAACGACTTGCGGACATGTCAGCTACACGTGAGCCGCCGTACCTCCCCATGCATGCTCTGCACAGGGGACTATCTGTAACACCTATGGTAAATAAATATTTGTTAAAGGAGTCATGTCCTGTGATAGCACTTCTTACTATCCTGATCTGTGGCTTGTTCAGTCTCATTAGATCCTTGGTTAAACAACTGTTAATTTCAGGCAGAGCCTCTCTAGCTTGTTTTCAGTCTACTAGATTTTTCCAAAGCTGAGTGTGTAGATTAGTAAAGTTTCTACATACCAGTGAACAAACGTCACCAAAGGGGATTGTTATTATTGGTTACATACCTTTTTTTTAGGATAGGGTGACAAACGAGCACACAGTCCACCTGATGGTAAGTGGTTGCTGCGGCCCATAGACATCTACATCTATCCTCGATTACAAAACAAAATGCAAATGCGTTGTCACCAGTGAGGACGAAGATGGAATGCCTCGTTTCCAGTAAAAATCGTCACCGATTCTCTACACTCACCATACGAAACACAGCAGCGTTAAGCTACTATTTGATGCTGGTATTCTGCGAGAGTGTGGTCCTTTCCCTGTCGAGCCGACACATTCGTGCTACAACTATACTACTAATGTAACTACAGCATGGCTCTACCACTACCACGTATAACTCATTTAATCATTGATGGCATTCATATATTAGCCCCGAGTTCACCACATTACAAACTCAGAGCTTGTAGTACCGCAATACTGTCGGTCAGTATTCTGATGGAGAAGTCTTTTACCTTCCTAGCATCTATTGCTTTAGCCGCTTGGATGATACCCGTACATTCTGCCTGAAAGACTGTGTTGTGGGTACCCAGCAGTATACATATGTGGATATTAAGGTCTTCAGAGAAAGTTCCAGAACCTACACATTAATTTGTTTTAGAACCATCCATGAAAACTCTAAGCTCTTTTGGGTTTAATCCCTCCGGATGGTTGGTTTAAGTTTAAGTGTTATTAACATTACTAATATTCCCATTAACCACTCCTGATAAGATTCGAACCCATGACCGTGGTCACAGTCATACCCTGCCATTATGCTGCGATGTAGGGAGCTGATGCGTAAATGAAAGACTTTTGGAGATGGTTGATATAGGACTGTTTTATTTGAAATATTAGAATTCTAATATACTTCATTCTAACAAAGAAAGGTTAATGATCCCGTTAGTAAGATGTTACAGTAACCAACCAGGTTTCAAGTGACAGTTTCCAATGCCCGTCTTCAAGTTACAATCCTGAGTCCTTATATATAAAACCTCAAGTTACATGAATAAAATCTCGAAAATAGTTCTCAGTAGAATTGGTATTTAAATTACAGTATTTCTTATAATTAATCAATTTGATTCTCTTACCTACCTATACTACATGGCTATTAGAAGGCTACTGTCACTTAAGTTTACTTATGAATTTCTTGTCGCTTCTACTCACAAGGTCTACAGTATTCCACCTAGCAGCCAGTGGAGAGATGTGCATACGTGGTAGAGCCATGCTGCAGCTATATTATGGTTGTAGCATGAATGGGTGGCTCGACCTGGGAAGGACCATGTTCTCACAGAATACCAGCGTAAAATAGCAGCTTGATAGCTTGATACTGCTGTGTTTCGTATGGTAAGTGTAGAGATCCGAAGACCCTTTTTTTACTAGTAACGAGGCATTCCATCTTAGTTCTCAGAGTGACAACGCATCTGTGTTTTGATTCTTAATCGAGGATTAATGTTGATGTTTATGGGCCACAGCATCCACTTAGCATCAGGTGGACTGTGTGCTCGTTTTTCACCCTTATTCTATAAAAAAAGAGGCTCATTGGTAACCTTGAAATGTTTGAAACCAATCTTGTCAGCCAGAGTACAAGCGCACAATAGGATGCATTTCGGAGAGTGTGCGCAGGTATTTCATGCTTTAATTCCTCCCTCTGCTTTCCACCATCGGCCAACCAGACGACCGGCGGGCTCTCTCATCCCTTTGTTGTCGATATTTCACGCATTAAAATCAAACGGTTTGCTTCGTCTTATATAATGCGTACAGCAAAAAAGCGACAGGTGAGTGGTCTGTCTTTCTGCCTGAGTACAATCTGTGCGTCTTCAAGGCAAGAGTGAATTGGCTTTCGTTACGCTAAGTTTTAAGTTTAAGTTTCGTTACCATCTAGGGCTTCATCTCCAATTACCACCAGATCAAATTGTGGTGAAGCACAAAAAGCAAAAAAGTTGATATTTTTTTAAGCTGTAATGTAACTTAAGTGGTTTGTAAATTTTGAACTGTTTCATTTCTTCTGTCGCCTCTTATGCTAATAATAATTCACTCTTTCTCTTCATAATCTAGTCTCACATCCAATTCCGAGAGATTCCAACACCCTTAGGTGTAATTAGAGGACCCCCATTATCATGGATAACGTCTTATCAAAGTATGTGTCAGCAAAAAGTTGTCATCAATAAAATCGCAGTTCTGGCGTCCCACAAGGAAGTTTACTAGGACCCATTCTATTTATACTTTACATTAATGACATAATAAAAGTAACAAAACATCAATGTACTTTTACTTTTTTGCGAAAGATAATGCCCAACCAGCTCTTAAGCTGTTGTGGGGTAGTCTTTCGCCGCCCCTACACGGGGTTGTATTATGTGCTGTTTTTCCATGTATATTATGAATTCAAAAAGAGACAGAAGGCAGTTTAGTCTACTGTGGCTTTCAAGGTTACTGTACGTTTCATACTAACAATATTTATTTACAGGATTCCAATTTGTCTGCTTCAAAAGCTTTTGTAATATCTGGAGAAGCACCAGAATCAGATGATGGTAAGTAAAAATATACTGTAAGAAGTATAATATAAAAAATTAGAGCCATTTTCACTTAAATATATGAATAACGAGAACCGTGGTAGCTCAAAGGCTAAGTGCTCGATATAAACGCGAGCAACCCGGGTTCAATCCCCGCCGACACCAATTAATAAAATAAAATAGAATATTTTTTATTCAATATATATTACAAGCAAGTTATACTTATTGATTTTTTTTCCAATGCACTGGTTCAGAAAATCCTCTGTCCTGGGAACAATCAGCAAGAAATCTTTTTTTTTTAAAGTAATATTTTACAATAAAACGCAGCTTATATTATTGCAAACAATTTAATAAAATTATTAATTGCAATTTAAAATGCTGATTTATCACGTGCTCGGCGTTTTCGAAGACTTGTGAAGTCCTATACGCATTGAGGCCGCGCGGCGGACATTTTCTTGTCCGTAAAACTCTCTAAGAAATAAGAAGAGTAATGGCCTGTATTAGTGAGACGTATGTATAGGCTAGACATGTGACATTCATTTATTTCTAGTGACCCGATCATTCAAGTATTGATTCGTCTCACGATCCGGGTAATTCGGGTCGATCGTTCAAACGGATCATTTCGAGTTTCAGTACTCTGTGATCCGTGAGACCCGTTCGTCAACGTCGTGAATCTAATCTCTAATATCTAATGTCGATCGTTGGACTTTATTATCTCTTTGGTCGGTAGGTCCTGTTAATCGTTTGATCCGGAACGTTCAAAAAATGTTATTGCAAACATCAATACTTTGGTGCGACCCGGGTCAAATTAATCATCCACGATTGACACATGTCTATGTAGTATTATTTTTCTTATAAAAGTTAATGTCATACGTATGTGTGACATTAACTTTTATAAGAAAAATAATACTGTGTGTTAATAGATCTGACCAAGCAATTAATATGAACATAAATTAAGATAATGTAACAGTGAACCATAATTGTGTGTAGTCAGATTTCCTTAAATACAGATAATTTTGTTGCATTTTTTTTTCAAACAAAACTAAATAAACGCAATAAATTTGTAAAATTAGTTTTACTTTTAACCGACTTCAAAAAGGGAGGTACTCAAATAGACTGTATTTTTTTATGTGTTACCTCAGAACTTTTTTCTATGTGAACTGATTTTGATGATTCTTTTTTTATTTGAAATCTGGTACTTCTCGTGTGGTCCCTTATAAATTTGATCAAGATCTGACCAGTAGTTTTTTTTTAAATTTTACCACTATTTTACTTTGTATATGTAATATTTGCATAAATATAAAAAATCATTATGCATTCTTTTTTATAAAATGACAAACGAGCACACAATCCACCACCACCACGAGTAAGTGGATGCTGTGACCCATAGAGATCTACATTCTGTCCTCCACCAGCAGAACACCAGCGTAAAATAGCAGCTTAATGCTGCTGTGTTTCGTGTGGTGAGTGTAGAGAACTGAATACCCTTTTTACTGGAAACAAGGCATTCCATCTTAGCCCTCAAGGATCACAACGCATCTATATTTTGATTCTTAATCGAGAATAGATGTTGATGGGACACAGTACAAACTCACCGTTAAGTGGACTGTGTGCCCGTTTACCCGAGTGCCCTAAAAGGGTAATATATATTTCGCGACTACGTATGTTTGTATATCTATTTCTTTCGCACGCTCTGGAGCCTAAACAGCTTGATAGATTGTAACATTTGAGGTATCGTAAAGCGGCTTTCAGACTACGCTATAATATAATAGCATATAGTATATAGCTCATAGTACAACAATATCGCGCACCATACATTGTTATGGACTCGTTCACACTGTACTGTACTATATATATTATTGGCTTTGTATGGTGCGCGATATTGTTGTGCTATGAGCTATATACTAATATGCTATTATATTATAGCGTAGTCTGAAAGCCGCTTTGGTTCTGTCTTAATTGTGGGAGTGACACAAATTATATAATATTTATATATTTCATCTGCAAATACAAAAAAAGGGAGGGGAAGGTTGTTATGCAGTCGTGTTTTTAAATTACTGTTTTAATTATTTTACTTGTTCATCGTTATTCTAAAAAGCAAACTTAGATATAAACAATTTCAGAATCAAAACTGCCATCACCAACATGTGTGAACGAGTTGGATGCTCCCCTTCGTGTGTCAATGTCACCGCAGAACTCAACCACTAAGTTGTACAATTCTATACTTCATCAGAAGTTATGTGAGTAACTTTCCGGCGAGTTTATTGAAATGCATGAAAGTTCCAGAAGTTACTGCTTGCACCACATCGGAACTAGAGTATATCAAAGCTAAATATCGATATTTAAATCACGTATGTGTACATGTGTAATAGCTCGGCCACACTATGCTTCTCGCGTTGCTCCTCGTTCTGCTCGTCGCGCTACCGCAATGTTGCCCTCTCTGTTCAGACATTGCTCTACTCGCCCAATTAATCGCGATGCTCCGCACTATAGACTTGGGTCGTACTTGCAAAATTGAGTACCAGGGCTTCCAAGTACTTCCACCTTCAGATACCAGCTAAAAACCAGGGCTCGAGATAGTTTTAAGTATTTTCTTTCTGCATCGAAAATTGATCCTTAAGATCATATAAATAATGGAATAATGGAAGAAAAATACTTGCATAGAACATTGATCCGTAACGATATATGAACAAAGACCCCATCGCGTTTATAAAAAAAATCAAAACCTTTAAAAGTTTCAAATTTCAAACCTTATTGGAAGAAAAATACTTGCATTGATCCGTAATCGTATACAAATAAAGAGCACAATCGAGTTTACAAAAAAAAAATACTTCCAATCCCTTAAAGTAAATATACCTAGATAGAACATTGATCTGTAACATAATATAATTAAGGAGCAGAATTGTGTAGAGTAGTAGTCGACAGAGCGACCATATTCAAATAGTTTGAAGTCTTGCGAGTATTTTGGGTCGGCACTTGGTCGGCGTACTTGTAAGTAAATACCTGGTGTAAAAACTTGGTCGCGTAAATACGCACCATTCCTACCGCACTAGATCGCTCTTGTTTGCAACACATGGTATAAAACTACTACGATTGCGTTTTTTTTTTTTTTTTTACGTCCCCCCCGGAGAGATTTTTAAACCCGGAACCTTTTATGGATGTTGAAACCGGGGCCGCCTGGGATATACATATTTATTATAGCTAATTATATCAATGTCAATGTCATGAACAAAAATAGACGTTGTTGTCGTCGAGATAGATTTTTCTCTGTATATTATTTACTCGAGCTTAGTGTACGAGTACGTTTACCTGGGACAAATGGTCCGGCTAGGTAAGTCCAACTTCGACCGAGAGGTCAATCGACGGATTCAACTCGGCTGGGCAGCGTTCGGGAAATTACAACGCATCTTCTCGTCAGGTATACCTCAAAACCTGAAAACTAAGTTGTACAACCAGTGCGTGTTGCCAGTGATGACATATGGAACTGAGACGTGGTCCTTCACTGCTGGCCGTATGAGGACGCTCAAAGTCGCTCAGCGAGCTATGGAGAGGGCTATGCTCGGAGTTTCTCTGCGTGATAAACTTAGAAATGAGGATATCCGCAGTAGAACCAGAGTGACCGACATAGCCCAACGGATTAGTAAGCTGAAGTGGCAATGGGCCGGCCATATAGCTCGAAGAACCGACAACCGTTGGGGAAAAAAGGTTCTCGAGTGGCAGCCTCGTACCGGTAGACGAAGTGTAGGGCGACCCCCCACTAGATGGAGTGACGACCTGGTAAGACATGCAGGAAGTCGATGGATGCAGGTGGCTCAGGACCGTACTTTGTGGCATACCTTGGGGGAGGCCTATGTTCAGCAGTGGACTTGTAAAGGGCTGTAATGATGATGATGATGATGAATTTACTCGTGTATTGTCATTTATGAATTTTAAATGACACGTGACGTGCTTCCGTAACGAGCGCTCGATTCGGACTGCGTTTGGGCGAGTGTGTGTCCAGCCACTCGCGCTCATATTGCCAGTCCTTTGACTCGCGCCCGAAACCCGACAAAACGGAGAGCGATGGGCACGACGAGGAGCATGACGTGCGACATGACGGGTATTGTTGCCATACTACGTCTCCGACCCCGTTCCTCGCCACTTCCCATGCGTAAGAATATCCACTACTCCATATCGTCTCGTGGTTGTTATAAGAGACGACAGAGGGAAATAAATCACGAGACGGGCAACAGCGTCATCCTAATACAAAATTTTAAAAACTACGCTCCAAGCGTGGCAACAGGCAAATACGCTCTATGTGGCAATCTATGGGGGGGTTTCCAGCAGTGGACCTTAAAGGCTGTAACCGTTACGGTATCTCTAACCGGAGCAAATGTAAATAATGATGTCGCAACTTCTTATAATATTCCACTACTGTCGGAGAGAGTTGTGTTCTTCTTTAATCTCTTTTTTATCAGCCTTTAAAATCCACTGCTGAAAGACAGATTGCAGATACAGAGGATACAGATACATTGGATACAGAGAGACAGTTACTTCTTGCAACTTGGACCCTGCTCGTTGCTGGTTATATGGTTTTTTTTACTATTTTTTTTTTTCACTTTAACCACTCCTGAATTCGGTCTGGCATACACTGATTCGCATACACTTGAGCATTATAATCCTGACCTGCCCAGATGGCTAATATTCGTTAAGGCTGGCCGCTATGACCGAAATTCTGTTTGGTGGTCATTATTATAGACTATCTATATAATATATATAAATCTACCGTAGAACGTGGTAGAGCCACGCTGCAACTGTATTATGGTTGTAGCATGAATGGGTCGGCTCGACCGGGGAAGGACCACGCTCTCACAGAAAACCAGCGTAAAATAGCAGCTTAGTGCTGCTGTGTTTCATATGGTCAGTGTAGAGAACCGGAGACCCGTTTTACTGGGATCGAGGCATTCCATCTTAGTCCTCACGGGTGACAGCGCATCTGCATTTTGATTCGTAAACGAGGATAGACGTGGATGTCTATGGGCCGCAGCAACCACTTACCATCAGGTGGACTGTGTGCTCGTTTGTCACCCTATTCTATAAAAGAATACACTCGTGCACTATAATCCTGCCCTGCGCAGATGGCTAATCTTCGTTGAGGCTGGCCGCCGTGACCGAAATTCTGTCTGGTGGTCATTATTATAGACTATATATAAGTCCACCGTTGAACATGGGCTTCCTTTTTAGATTACTATAAAGGGAGATTTAGAGATAGTTGTGACTTATAGCGTGTGGGTTTTGTTTTACACGATGCCTCTGTTTCCTTTCCTAGGGGGAGTGCAACGTGTCACTAAGAGCGACCCTCGAGGGCTTGGTGAAACACACCACTGACATATCTGTGGAGAAGTTAAAAAGAGCGGATAAAACACTGCTGAGTGTTCAGGTATTTTTTTAATTGCATATAGACTCGTATAGTTAGTCCTTTTGCCAGTGTCAATTAATTGGAAATTATTGTTTTTGAATTTATATAATTCTGAACAATGTTGATACGTCAATGTTTTTATACCTTAAACCAGCAAATAGTCAATCGCGATAGTATTTACGTTATATTATGGCTAGTGATGCAACGGAAGTATCATATCGGAAGCAGAAACGGAAACAGATGTTAAAAATATTTTTTTGCAGAAACGGAAACAGAAACGGATGCGGAAACGGAAATAATACTTATTAAAAAATACAAATAAAACTCTTAATTAACATTCAAAATTAAGTAGCGGTAAGTTATATTTTATGAAAAGTAGTTCGGCCGCTTTTGCACCTAACAATCTGTTCTAGTGTTCTTCATACATAAGTCCAGTTCCGATAAATAATTGCGCACTGACGATACTGCGTACCACCTATACAACAAAGCTAAATTGGCACTGGAATTTGGGCAAACCTTTTAAAGGGCCACATTTAGGTTTAGCGAGTAGGTAATTTAGTACAGCCCTAGCACGAAAGTACGACGTAAATAAACTTTGAATCCGAAATACTCATTAAAGTTTCTTTAAAATAAATAATATAAACTTCAAGTAAAAAATAAATAACATAAACTTCACGCAAACATAACTGCTACCTAATTAATTTGCAAATCAAAGTTGTACCAAAGGCATTTATTTAAAATTATTTTTAACTGGAGAAAAAACGTTTTAACTAAAATCTGGTTTTAATTATAACATAGGAATAAATTTAATAAAAAAATAGGTATCCAGTTCCTTGACTGACCATTTGTTTTTTAGTTTGCGATGAAAGTTTTAGAGTTTCAAATTTTCACCCCTTTCGGCGTTTAAGATGGTTCTTTAAAGCGGTAGTTGTGCAGCCTTTTCGCGAGTAAATTTTTTGTCACATAATTTACATTTGGCTACTAAATCATTAATCTCAAGATAATAGTTCCAAACAGGACTTGTTTTTGACTTCATGATTGCACTTAAATTACACACACGACTTAAATTTCTAACTAACTAAAATACAATAAATCTATTTATGTGGATGCGTCGCTGAGTTCCGTTCAAAATTCCGTTATAAAACTTGCGGAAACAGAAGAAGAAACGGATGTTAAAAACCATGCAGAACTTCCGCAGTTGCGGAAACAGAAACGGAGTTCTGTTGCATCACTAATTATGGCCACGCTGCAGCTATGTTTTGGTTGCAGCACGAATGAGTCGGCTGGACCGGGGAAGGACCACGCTCTCACAGAATACCAGCGTCCGGAGTCCGGAGACCCCTTTTACTGGAAACTAGGCATTCCATCTTAGTCCTCAGGGGTGAACCACAGCTGCATTTTGATTGTTAAACGAGGTTACATATCGATGTCCACGGGCCACAGCATCCACTTACCATCAGGTGGACTGTGTGCTCGTTTGTCACTTTTATTCTATAAAAAAATCATCAAGCCTGCAAATAACTTGTGGTTTTTATCAGTATTGGAGCACTTGTTCAATTGTTTCTATTTATGCGCGATTTCATTTAAGCACCACACTTTAACGCTGCGTACAGACTGATGAAAGGTAACAAGAAAGGAGCATTTCATCAGTGTGGACACAGCGTGTGAACTAAGTCAGGCCGCACACCAGCGCCACATGCTACACGCATCGAACATTTACGTCGCCACAATAATTGCGCTATACTTCACCTTACTACAAATGTATTGTATAGGCGTACATCGGAAGCACAGTTGTAGCATTGCACCGCTTTGAGAATGTTGACATCATCGTCTGATGACGACGATTTTTTGATGTGGCAATCAACAGAACATGTACCTACGATATGTTTCGGAACGTAACTTTAGTCTTCTGAGAACTGCTGTGTTCTTATATGGGTCATTTAAGAGGTGTGAAAGTCCTCAGTAGCTTGCTTTAACGTTGATACTAGCGTCATCTAACACTCAGTAAAAGCACTATTTTCTCCACTAATTTACACATTGTATTCAAAAGATGGCGTCATTTGCTGCTGACATTTATTATTTATACCGAAGTCTAAATCACGCCATCAAAGTTTTAAGATATTGTGGAATATATATATATATATATATATATATATATATATATATATATATATATATATATATATATATATATCTTAAAATTATATAATGTATATGTTTAATACATGCAGGCAAATTAAAAATTGCAATTACCAATTTAATTGGTGCCGTCGGGGTTCAAACCGGTGTTACTCGCGTACTGGGAAATTTACAGCGAGCGCTAACCATCTGAGCTACCATACTACTTTAAATTATAATACTATTTTATATTTATCGTATATCTATTATCCTCACTACGTTGCTGGCTTAGTTAGTTAGTATAATTTTGATAGCAATGCAAATTTCAACAGTTCGTTGCGGTAAAAAATTTAGAGCACCTAATTTTTAAATTTGGCACCTAATTAGCACCTAAAAAGCCCCTAATTTTAGCTTTTTCTCAATGCAAATTCCTGACATTGCGTTGCTTACGGGACAGGACTGGCATCACGTGCCTATCAAGATTCACTTCGGAAGGTTACTTAAATATAGGTCTCCTAGTTCGGCTGCAGATGCTATCTCAAGTATATGTACCAATTTAGCTTTATTAAATGTTAAGCAAATATCTGGTTGTACTACTCTAACTAACTTATTATTAATATGAAGCAGCAATCGACTAGTGGTAAAAAATCCAGCATAACCCATACGATGATTTTAATAGCTTTATTAAGTTCAGATTTTTATTGAGTATTTCTGAAAAATATGACCAAAGTATTCTATTTTATTTTAATTTATTTTTCAGGAAAGCATGCGAGCAACTAATGCCAACTTAACACTGGCACGTGCAAGATTAAAGCAAATACATGCCGAATTAGAAAAAGCTAACTGTGGAAGTGCATTGCCTACTGTTAAAATTAAATAGTGTTGCCTACATAATCTTATGTTGGTGATTTTTCGGTAAAATTAAGAACAGATTTCTTGTTTTCTTATTTTATTTATATATAAATTAGTAGAAGTTTAGAAGTAAACATATATGTTTTGTTTAAGTTTATAATTAATTATAATTTAAATCTTGTTATACTTTAAATTTCGGTTATTTAGACAATAAACATTATTTTCGAACGTCGAATATTTTAGAAAATGTTAATGTTTTTGCAAATGTGTTTGAAAATGTTCTTGTAAAAAACACAAAGTGCCTGCTACTAAATTATCCGAACCATGGAAAACTGTATTTTACTTATGTTTACGAGGATATATGGATATTTAAAGAATAGGTTTTTAGCACACCTAAGTTCAAACTACTGAATTGAGCGAGTCTTGCAGCTCAAACTAATTATGTCTATGAAAATTTGATGAAATCATCATTTCGTATTTCTTAATTTGAATCTCGACCGATTTAAATTTTTTGCAGAAATAATATTTGAAGTCATACAGCTATTTCTGTACAATTTTCTTTGTTATGTTCGCAAGAATGTCTGCGGTATTACTGAGTAAATTTTGTTATTTTAGAAGGTTCCTACTTTTTAAATGCACCTCATGAAAAACCAAAATTAAAAGAAGAACATAATAGTGGTACTCGTAGATAGGTAATACCTATTATAATAATAATATATAATAATAATAATGACCTCCCGACCGAATTTCGGTGACGGCGGCCAGCCTCAACGGAGACTAGCCATCGGCGCAGAGCAGGATTGTAGTGCCCAAGTGTATGGCGGTAAAGCACAGGTTACACTCTATTCTCTCACTCTCAAGGTCCGATGGGACGATAAATCGACACGACCGGAGAGAGATCAGGCGCAGGACCAACGGCTTTAGGTGCTTTGAGACACCGCCTACTTCCTGACTCCGCGCAGCTACTAAGAATTTCTTGATGGAAAATCTCAATAACTGATATTTTCGACCTGACCCGGGATTTGAACCCGGGATCTCATGATCAGCAGTCGCACTACTACAACCACTAGACCAACGAGGCAGTCACCTATTGGATATGTAGTCTGTATATATCGTAAAAAAATAACAAAAACTATGTATGTGTCACTTCCAAGGGAGAAAACATGGGAATACCAAATTATGTTCTTAAAGTTAAAAACTACTAAAGTTTGTTGGTTTATTGTATACCAACATTCAAATAAAAATATTCCATTCTAGTTTACGCTGTTTTTAGAAATATATAAATTTATTGAACAAAAGTTAATTTGTTTTAATTGTTAATACAACCACATTTCTCGACACCTTCGACTTTCAAACTGTGATTACGCAAAAGCCAGGAATCGAATATCTAACATATTATAGCTTCTATAGCAAGGACAAAGCTTACAAAGTCCCGTAGAAAGTCATTAGTATAACTTTAATGTAGGTAGTCAAGGTAACGGGAGCGGTGGAGGTGTTTTTAAAAACTACAATAAAACTAAGAGATGTCCGTACAGAAGCTCATGTACTCCAATAATGGCAAAATTGTTCTAATACATCTTTCATGCAGACTTAATTACATTTGCTTAGTGTCTGATCTACCTCAAATGTAATTAAGTCAGCAACAACATTTATGCACGTACTTGTATCACTGTGTGGGGTTGAATATATGACTAGATTGAATCAACCGGGGATGGACTGCAGTCGTAAAGAATACCAGCGTAAAATAACAGCATATATAATGATGATTGACGGCTCCGTGGTTCGAACCCCGCGCGGAACAAGTATTTGTATGGCCTACAAGTAATTGTTCCGGGTCTGAATGTTTGTCGTGAAATTTATGTATGTGAACTGACCCCACGACACAGGAGACAACCCTTGCATAAAAATTAAGAAGAGAAAAGATGTATTTCGTACAGTGAGTGCATAGAATCGGAGTCCCTTTTTACCAATAATGAGGAATTTCACCATCAATTCCTCAGGGGTGACAGCGATGCAAAAACAAAGTGTATAGTAGGATTAAATGCACGACTTCAGAAGCCATGCTGCAGCAATATTATGGTTGCAGCACAAAAGGGTCAGCTCGACCGGGGAAGGACCACGCTGTCCCAGAATACCAGCGTAAAATAGCAGCTCAATGCTGCTGTGTTTCGTATGTCAAGTGTAGAGAACCGTAGACCCTTTTTACTGGAAACGAGGCATTCCATCCAAATCCTCAGGGATGGCAACGCATTTGCATTTTCATTCCTAATAGAGGAGGAGAGATGTAGATGTCTATGGGCCACAGCATCCACTTATCATTAGATGAACTGTGTGCTCGTTTGTCATCCTTAATCGGCTTTTATGAACCGTTAATTTTCTGTCACTTTTTAGTGAAGTAAGGGATAGCACAAGCTCTAAATGACAACTATAATATCGTCTAAGTAGTTACACTAAAAACTTTAACCCCTATATAAAAGTGGAATTTGTTCTTGTATTGGAAATTTAACATATCGGTGAAGGAAAACATCGTGAGGAAACCTGCATGTCTGAGAAATTAAAAAAATATTTCGATGACATGTGAAGTTCGCCACACACGGCCCTAAAACCCTCTCAGAGATGAGAGGAGGCCTATATGTCCAGGAGTGGGACGTATATAGTCGGTCACTTTAACACTAACACTTAAATTAAAAAAAAAACTCAATCGTAGGACTGCATGTTGGAAGTGAAAAACTATTAGCTTCACAAACATATATAATAATAAACATATATTATATGTAAGCGTGATGGTCACACGAGTTCAGTGCTTTTTCTCCGTCCTAAAAATACTCAGCGTGCCTAAAATAAGTTTTTAATTCAAAAATCTTTAATTCGGTTCATATTTGGCGAAGATTTTACAAAACTGAAGTGTGGTGGCGTCCTCATTTTGTATTTCAATCTCTGCACTTTGTCATTATGTGTTATGTCCTTGATCGTGCATTATATCCTAGATGCTAAGCTAAATAAGTAAGATATCCGTAACATATTAAGTAAATGAATAATAAAACAAGATTAATTCAATATTTTTACTATCGTTACATTTGCTTTCGTGAAAGTTTACAATATTCAACAAAATGGCGCGTGAATCGAAACATTTTCCCGCCACGAGGATCCGTTTGTAAAATTAAAACTTTTTTATCTTGCACATATAGAGGTTTAAATTCCGGTTATCGTTTTATATTATGTAACGTTCGTTGTAATCAAAGGTTATTTAATATAATTTAAGGTTAATCAATTATTTAAGTACAAATTATGGATGAAATCACATTAAATTGATATTTTCTTAAAGTATTTTTCAATTTTTATAATTTAACGAATGAAATTATAATGAATTTATCAACTTTTTTACTACAGTTATTGACATCACTACTGGCATTCTGCCACAGGTATTTTATTTAAAAAAAAGTAAGTATGCGAGTTAATATTTTTGTTAAAACTCACTAAGTAATTCAGAAAAAGCTTTGATAGCTCAAAGGATAAGCGCTCGCTATAAAATTTCTCCGTTCTTGAGCAACCAGGGTTCGATAATCATCGGCACGTATGGAAATTTCAATTACAATTTTAAGTGCTGATTTACCATAGGTTGTGCACTAAAGAAAAACATCGTGAGAATAAAAAAATTTAGAAGACATGTAAATTTCGCCAACATTGAGGCACCGCGTTGGACATTTCCTTGCCCTAAAACCCTCTCAGAAATGAAGAAGGCCTGTTTCCAGCAGTGGGACGTATTAAGGCTGTAACTTTACTTTTATTTTGCCTTTTTTAGTAAGAAAATAAATCAATAGTCTAAAAAAGTTAGTTGAAACATATAATAAAAAATATATGTTTTTCTCGTAAACACCATATCACCTGAATTATGTTAAGGTAGAAAATTACAGAAATAGTTAAATAGACAATATTTCCAAAATTAAAAGCGGCGTCATTTCATTATATTACACAGTACAAACGAATTTAAACATTATTTCCGGACGTGTCGTAACCCCATTCCGCCATTTTGGAATCGATAAAGTTACGGAACATGGCGACGTTCACGTATATGGCGGGAACTCCCTTTTCGCCGCATCCAATGCCCCATGCTACAAGTCCAGTCAGTTTGTACCTGTCGTCTCCAATAGGGCAGGCAAGCGGTGCTCCGCCATCACCCTGAAATGAAAAAATGAAAAAATGAAAAATTATTTTTTTTTCTATTATCCATCATAGTCTATCAAAAGTCCTGCTGAAGAACACAGAGGGAAATTAAACAAAAATATATAAATGACAACAGCATCTACCTGATACAACCGCAATAATAAAAAACTACGTCTGACAACTCGCTTACCACGAGTGGCAATTTTGTGAAATTAGTACGTAGATGAGCCATGCTGTAGTTATATGATGGCTTTAGCACGAATGGGTCGGCTCGACCGGTGAAGACCACCGACCACGTGTCACATTTTGTGACAGCGTACAATAGCAGCTCAATGCAGCTGTGTTTCGTATGGTGAGTGCAGAGTACCGGAGACCACACAGCATCCACTTACCATCAGGTGGACTTCCGTTCCTTTCCCGCACGGGTCTGCCTAGAAGGGAGAGCTAGATACTGGTGGACGCATCTTTGGTCCTCCAATGAGAAGCACGCTCCGCTAAGTAGAAAGGGGAGACGGCGGAAGCTATAAGAAAACGCGCGCCGCCATCGTTGTCGCAATTTTCATAGACACACAGGTACTCAACCTAGTTCAGGCAGGTAGCTAATATTATAAATTTGACTTTTTTTATTTTTCTTTTGTATATTCTACATTATTAAGCTACACATAGTTTTAATTTTATCATAGTATGTTATTTTTGTTAGACTTATTGTTACTTTATTTAATTGTAATCATATTTATTCCCGTATAAACATGTGTAATTGGAAATGAAATAAATATTTCATTCCAATTACTATTATGTGTGGGGTATCTATATAGTTTTCTCATCTGGTTGGGTTCTATAAATATATAATTATAAATGAAAATG